GTATATATATGTTCACATACTGTTATGATACACATATCTATACACACTCACGCATACACACTCACATACACACACATATATATATATATATATATATATATATATACAGATAAATGTATCATTATATTATTATATTAAATGTATATATAGATATATATATTATTATTATTATTATTGTTATTATTATTATCATATACATTCAAATATTCAATTTGATTATGGAGATATACACAGTCCTTGTTTCGCGGAATTTATCTACTGGTAGATGTTCACTTCTTTGATGATCTTCTTTGATTAGTATAGGTTATGTGTCATTCAGATGTTCAATATGTCCGACTAGAGTCTGTGGTCAATTTAGGTTCATTTTAGGTTCCGTATTTGAACCACACAAACAAATTTGCTTTCGAGTATGAAACATTTTTATAGGGGATATACGCAATGCTGTTGTATCCCTCATGACCGTCAACTATATTCGGATTATGCAAGATGAGTGCAACTCACATACCTTTTGCTACGGCACATGTTTAAATCGAAGTGCTATATTGATATGTGGGCTATATACGGGCTTTCTGGTTGATATACAGTAGCGCGAACGAAATACAAACTGTATGGAAAGATATATCATTTTTTTGCCTAGCAGCTATCAGTACGACTGTCTTGCTTCTTCTTGATTCGGAACGCACAAAATAATTCAGAGTGTTTATTGACTATAGTTTAGACTTAATTCTGTCATTTCTGGCCATCCGTATCACTATTCCAGATCATCACCACAGCAAAGAAGACTAACGGCAATGCGAATAGGGAAGCGAATGCCTATCTTTTGGTATGACAAAATTCTGTCGGGGACCCCTCTTTGCCAGTGTTTATCCGCTCTCTGTATTCATTGGACATCGTTCGTGCTCTACACAAGCTTGACGTACATATTTTGCAGACGGAAAAGCGAAATTGTTTGTATCTCCGACCGAATCGTGAGTATAGCTGGAAGTGTCTGGGTGTTTGTCAGTCACAAGATGCTATTGTGCCCGATGGAATCCATACTCTAGCAGTGTTTATCTGCACCATCTATGCATCTCCCGCTTGTCAACTGCATATCAAGAGAAACGAGCAGGGCTCAAGTTTCACTGTTGGTTTCCCCATGATATGCATGATAAAGGCACAGACTGACTCATCTTTTCTACTCACCAACACAGGACAACTATGCTCTTCCTAAGTTGTTTGAGTTGGCGGCTCGCTACAAGTACCGCGACGGCGGTTATACACGTATTCTCCGATTACCCAACCGTACATGTATGTGCTCTTTGTGGGCTTAAGATAGTTCATGTTTGTTGTTGAATTGCAGTACATAGCATATACAGGTGATAGTTTATTGCATTGTATATCTCCCATACATGTGGGTAACATTGCTTCATATACCTTCGAGGTACGCGTTTGTATTGTATTTCGAGTGTCGACGTCCTTCCTTGTGTCTTGTGTCTGCAGTGTACATTTCAGCTATCGATGCTGCAGTCGGTGTCTTTCATTGCGCTGCCTTGCGTGTAGCTCGGCTGTCCGAGATTGCACCTAATCCAAAGGGTTGGGTTGTTAGGTGTGTTGAGATACTTCACACATATGTTTTGAGTTGCAGACGGATCGTTTGTTGTTTGAACGGGGCCAGCGTGAGGTCTGAAGCGAATGCCAATCACTCTCTCCTTTTGTGTTCAGTATTTCCAGACTGCATAGTACAGCCCACCTTCGCCACCTCTATCTACCAGTGGATTGCATTGCCATTGTACCTCATCATTCTCAAGCATATCGCTCTCTCGCCCCTGTATACTGTTTCGCACACTACAGCCGACAACGCACACATGTCCGTGATCGAGTACGTGGACAATCCATTCCCCCCCCTAAGAGAGCCCAAAGAGACCCGACTAGCCGCTATCCGAGAGAAAAGTCAGCGTAAACAAAACAATATGGACAAGAAGCGTATGCTGTGGGAAGGTCCTGCGCGTGTGCCCAGAGCAAAGGCCAACTCCAGGGGACCTGTATACGCCACGGGCGAGGCTGTCAAGAAAAAGCCTTTGATTAGTATTGAAGAACTGGGGCTAGACTAGAATGTGTGTCAGCGATGGATGTGACATGCGGCATATTAAAGTCAAGTGGATATTGCATGATTGTTTGGTTGAAATATATTGATCAACGTAAGTATCTACAGAGTGATCGTTATCAGTGGAGTAGTATTGTTCGATTCAGAGCACTATCACTAAACGTATATGTATATAGTTTTTATATGCACATGCAGATGCCTACAAATTTCCTACGTTGCAGCAAATGAAGTGATGAAAAAAATCAACAGCATGCACAACCCAATTTCAACAAGTAACAAGCAAGAGCGAGTAGAAGTCTCAGCTGCATCACGATTTGTATCTCAATTAATAACTCGATATCGGTCTCTGGTATCTTAATTCCTAAAGTGCTTCTGCCTAACAATGCCTTGTGCGTCGAAACTTGACTTCCTGTGCGAAAATGAATGTAACATGTGCGTGCTTTACATTGAGCTTGTTTTACGCTGAGCTATATGTGCACACTGGTATGTGTCATAGACCCCAGTAGTGCCTGCACCACCTGTACCCCTATGATAAGATATGTGTGTTGTGTCTTTACAACCTGACAGACTGAAGATTAACATTGCCTTGCCGGTGAGAACCCGCACATTGCCGAGACCACTGGGAAGAATGCCACATGCATGACTATGCGTATATTCTATCTATCAGGTGGTGCACCTGTCTTGTCTCGGAAGGAACATAAGAAGCGGCACAGATACTGCAAAACATGTCTATGAATACGCTGACTCCATAGACTATTTGTTGAGATACACGTACGCTAGAGTGTCAAGTATTTATAAACGCTGAGGCACATGACTTGACATTGCTTGAGTGTTTGTTTATATAAACGGTGTACCAACTAAGCGTATATAAGCATCTATATCTACAAGGTTTAGTTCCTCGCGCTCTTCCTCCCTCTCTCGACTAGTGGTTTGTGCGTAAGTAAATTACTTCAATATGGTTACCTTCTCCATATTGGACAGGAGAGTGTGAGAAAACGAAGAATATATTTGCCCCGGTCCAACACGGCCACAGCCTACGGGGTACACACCAACGGAGTACGGACCCGCCAGTTCTGAACCTGAGACATCACACGACACACCATCATCAATCATCTATCATGAGTGACATACACATACATATACATACAAATAGGTCTTAGGCCAACGGAGTACGGACCCAGCAGGCCTGAATTCCTGACATCACATGACACACCATCATCAATCATCTATCATGTGTGACATACACATACATATATATACAAATAGGTCTTAGGCCAACGGAGTACGGACCCAGCAGGCCTGAATTCCTGACATCACATGACACACCATCATCTATCATCTATCACACAAGGCCTAAATTCCTGACATCACATGACACACCATCATCAGTCATCAATCATGTGTGGCATACACATACATATACATCGTTTTGATTCTTTTGGTGCCTGCTTAAATACACGAGCTACAGTCCGACAGTACATACTACATTGAGATAGGCAGGATGTCGTCAAAAAAGTCATTCAACTAATACAAAAAGGTCTATTTTATGTAGATACTGTCTATACCTCTAGGACTTACAAGTTGTATCAATGCTGCTGTGTGTGTTCAGTGGCATGGCCTTTACATCCTACTATGCAAATTTGAATTATATCAAGAAAGCTCTAGCAAGATCACGTCGCAACTATGTTCTTATTCAAAATAGCGGCAGCAGCAAAGCAACTGGCGGTTGTCTTATCTTTGAGGGCATGTTTCTCGGCCTGATGATGTTTTCCTTCATCTCAATCACTCTGCAGATAAGTAGGTTCAGAATGCTGGAGTGCCATAAACTGAGAAAAATGTCAGTTCATTTCTATTCGCATATCTCTTCTTGTTGCATTCCAATTTACTATTTATAGCTCCCCATATTCATCAAAAGCCAGCTGCTGGAACCCTGGATATGCCTGCCTTGTAATGTTTGTCTGTCATATGAGCGAAGTGGACCGCCGCTGCCAGTGACAACTGTCACGCCGTTGTATCATTTACAGTAACCATGGCTGTGTATGGTTGGACGATACGTGCCACGGATCAATTAGTTCTTTTGCAGGGATTATCGGTAGTATGTTTAAGGGTGGTATATATTATTGCCAATGCTATGAGTGGGTATTACTATGTATTTGGTAGATGAAAGTGCTGTTATCCCAGTGTTCGGGCCAGACGATGAATGCTGTGTTGTTGGATCTTAGACTTACTGCTCGAGGCAGTGACACGGCAATGGCTGTATAGAAACTCGCTTCTTAGTCCGTGTTGTGCACACGCGTGAACGAGGATTATGAATGGTAATATGAAGCTGCCTGTGTACAACTATCCATTATAGTTATCGCCGAGCTTGAATCTTTGTGAAAGCTTATAAGTTTCTTGTGTCCTAGACGTTCCGTCTGCGTTTATAATTGATCCGCACTTATTCATTCACACCCAAAAACAGGACACTCCAGACATAATATATTTCATTGATGCGTAGTACAATCACACGCTTTAATGGAACGACTGGTGGCCTTTCCATACCATCACTTGTACGTACCACTTTCGAGTACTGCAACAGTGAGTGAGTCTCGCAGTTGCGTCTATCAGAAGATTGAGAGGAGGACGGTTTCATCAGTTGCATTGAATGGTCACAAGAGAAGTTTGCACAATATCCTAGCGGTTTAACGCTATGCACGAGGCGATACATACATACATACATGAATAGATTTAATATACACCATATACTTATTTGCTCACAGGCATATGTACCTACAGACTTGGTTCTTGTGAAAACTGTTTGTAGTTGTATATATCGAGTCTCCACTGTTACGAGCTCGTCCTTTTTACACCTGCCTCCGTAGATGGGACACACAGGACAAACCCGTCTATCCAACCAATACACTTCGACTAATATCCTCATTGTTTCCACTAAGAGACTACGTAGTTTACAAATGGGGTTTACACCATCCGAGGTATACAACATACATATTAAAGGTGAGCTAGCTGAGATCGGTACCTTACTCCACGATAGAACTAAGAGTTCAGCGTCAACGTCGATCTAGCAATGTTAGCGTGAGACAGACCAGATGCTTGTGTAATCCAGGGTCAACTGCAATTCTTATTCTAACAATTCTGGCATGGGACAGTTCAGACATACATAGTCCAGCGTCAACGGCAACGCTTCGTCTAGTTATGCTGACATGGTGCAGACGAGACCCATAAAAACCAGTGTTGCGTCAACGGCAACACTTCTTCTAGCAATTCTGGTGTAGGACAGACGATACCTATAAAGTCCAGCGTAAACGTCGACGCTTCTCCTAGCAATTCTGGCGTGGGACAGCCCAGACCTATATAAATATAATCTTGCGTCAACAACTACGACTTTTTAGCGGTGCTGGCATGAGATAGTCCACACCTATATAATCCTGCGTTAACGGCGACGTTTCCATGGGACGTTCCAGACCTATATAATCCAGCGTCAACGGCGACGCTTCTTCGAACAATTCTGGCGTGGGACAGACAACAACTATATAATCCAGCATCAACCGCGTCGCTTGTCCTAATGGTGCTGCTGTGGGACAGAATATATCTGAATAATCCAGCTATAACCGCGACGCTTCTTCTAGCAATTCAGACCAGATCTACAAATCCAGCGATAACGTTCCCCTAGGAATTTGTCATTGGGACAGACCAGACCTATATAATTCAGCGTCAACGGCGATGCTTCGTCTAGCAATTCTGACGTGGGACAAACCGGAACTACACAATCCAGCGTCAACGTCGACGCTACTTCTAGCAATTCTGGCGTGGGGCAAACTAGACCTATATGATCCAGCGTCAACGGCGACGATTTTTTTTTGCAATGCTGGCGTGGGACAAACGACACCTATACAATACAGCATCAATGGTAATTTTGGCGCAGAAGAGTTCAGACCTACATAATGCATCGCCAACGGCGAAACTCCCTGTAGGAATTCTAGATTGGTACAGGCCAGAACTACATGAATCCGTGTCAACGGCGACGTTTCTCTTAGCAATGCTGGCGTGGGATAAATCAGACCTATATAATCTACCGTTGGCGTCGACGCTTCGTCCAATAATTCTGGGGTAGGACATTCTAGACATACATAATGCATCGCCAACGGCGAAACTCCCTGTAGGAATTCTAGATTGGTACAGGCCAGAACTACATGAATCCGTGTCAACGGCGACGCTTCTCTTAGCAATGCTGGCGTGGGATAAATCAGACCTATATAGTCTACCGTTGGTGTCGACGCTTCGTGCAATAATTCTGGGGTAGGACATTCCAGACCTACATAATCCAGCGTCAACGGCGACGCTTTTTTAGCAATTCTATATTGTGGCAAACGAAACCTATATAATCCAGAGTCAACGGTAGCGCTCATACTAGCAATTCTGGCGTGGGACAGTCCAGCCCGATTAAATCCAGCGTCAACAGCGACAATTCTTCTAGTTTTGTTATTGTGTGACAGACGAGATCTATAAAATCCAGCGTCAACGGTAACGCTTCTTTTAGCAGTTCTGGTGTGGGATAGTCCAGACCTATATAATCCAACGTCAACGGCGACGATTCGTTAGCAATGCTGGCGTGGGACTGTCCAGACCTATATAATCCAGGGTCAACGCCGACGCTACTTATAGCAAAACTGGAGTGACACATACCTGACCTATATAATCCAGCGTCAATGGCGACGAATCTTTAGCATTACTGGAATGGAACAGGCCAGAACTATATAATCCAGCGTCAACGGCGACGATTCTTTAACAATGCTTGTGTGGGGCATTCCAATCCAGCGTCAACGGCAAAGGTTTTTGAGCAATATTGGCGTGGGACAGTCCAGACCTATGTAATCCAGCCTCAACGGTAACGGTCTCTCTAGCAAAACTGAAGTGAGACATACCAGACCTATATAATCCAGCGTCAACGGTGACGAATCTTCAGCAATACTGGAGTGGGACAGGCCAGACCTAAATAATCCAGCGTTAGCGTTGGCGCTTGTCCTAGCATTGCGGGCGTGGGACAGAATATACTGATAAAGTCCACCTATATAATCCAATGTCAACGGCGACGATTCTTTTGCAATACTGGAGTGTGACAGGCCACACCTAAATAATCCAGCGTTAACGTTGGCGCTTATCCTAGCATTGCGAGCGTGGGACACAATATACTGATATGGTCCACTCCAGCGTCAACGGCGACGAATCTTAAGCAATACTGGAGTGGGACAGGCCAGACCTAAATAATCCAGCGTTAACGTTGGCGCTTGTCCTAGCATTGCGGGCGTGGGACAGAATATACTGATAAATTCCACATATATTATCCAATGTCAACGGCGACGATTCTTTGACACTGCTGACGTGGGACAGTCGAGACCAATATAATTCAGCGTCAACGGTAACGCTTCTTCTAGAATTGCTGGCGTGGGACAGAATATATTTATATAATCCAGCGTCAACCGCGACGCTACTTCTAGCAATTCAAGCGTGGAACAGTCCAGGCCTATATAATCCAGCGTCAACGGCGACGATTCTTTAGCAATGCTGGCGTGGGACACTCCAGACCTATATAATCCAGCGTCAACGGCTACAATTTATTAGGAATGCTGGCTCGAGAAAGTCCATACCTATATAATCCAGTGTCAACGGCGACGTTTCTTGGAACAATTCTGGTGTGAGACTGTCCAGACCTATATAATCCATCGTCAACGGCGACGCTTTCTCTAGCAAAGCTGGATTGGGACATTCCGGTCCTATATGATCCAGCGTCAACCGCGATGATCCTTCAGCAATGCTGGCGTGGGATAGTCCAGACTTATATAATCCAGCGTCAACGGCGACGATTCTTTGACAATGCTGGCGTGGGACAGTCTAGACCTGCATAATCCAGCGTCAACGGTAACGCTTCTTCTAGCAATTATGGCGTGAGACAGTCCAGACCTATATTATCCAGCGTCAACGGCGACGATTCTGTAGCAATGCTGGAGTGGGACAGTTCAATACAGCGTCAACGGCGACGATTTGTTAGCAATACTGGCGTGGGATAGACCAGACATATATAAACCAGCGTCAACGGCGACGCTTCTCTGAGCATTTCTGGCTTGGGACAGAATATACCAATATGGTTCAGCGTCAACGGCGACGCTTCCTCTAGCAATCCAGACCAGATCTATATATTCCAGCGTCAACGACGACGCTTCTTCTAGCAATGCTGGCGTGGGACAAGAATAGGCCTATATAATCCAGTGTCAACGGCGACGCTTTCTCTTGGATTGCCGGCGTGGGACAGACGAGACCTATAGAATCCAGCGTCAACGGCACCATTTCTTCTAGCAATACTGGCGTGGGCCAGACCAGGCCTATATAATTATCCAGTGTCAACGGCGACGCCTACTCTAGGAATGCTGGCGTGGGACAGACCAGACCTATATATTCTAGCGACAACCGCGACGCTTATTCTCGCAATGCTGACGTGCGACAGACCAGACCTACATGATCCATCGTCAAGGGCAACGCTTAATTCTAGACCATTACTGGTGAAAGACAGACCGGACATAAAAGTTAAACAAATAACCCCGCCATTGATACCCTCAAATGGCTGCAATTGTCGGATACGTTTGCCTTCTGTTGCTCGGCTACACTTATTGGATGATGTCCTATTGTTCTACCAGTGGTGACGTCTACCACGGCGTGCACAGAATTTGGGTTCGCGAGAGTATCTGTTCCCATGAAAAGGGGCTTTACAAAAAGTCGCAATCTGGGCTCGAGAAATGTCCCTCGACTTCTGAGAGTGATATGTAGATAGATATCGTGAGTTCACCGTCATCAACTAATTTGGTCAAATCACTATTGTTCTTATCAGTTAATTTCGTCAGACTATTTTTATTGTTCTCAACTAATTTCGTCATAATAGTATTTTATTTATCAACCAATCACGTCAGAGTCAGCGTATTATTGACTAATTTCGTCAGATTATCTTATCAACTAATTTAATCAGATTGCTATTGTACTTTTCCACTACTTTCGTCAGATTATTATTGTTTTTATCTACTATTTTAGTCATATTATTGTACTGTCGACTAATTTTGACAGATTATTATTGTACTTGTCAACTAATATAGTCAGATTATTATAGTACTTGTCAACTAATTTCGTCAAATTATTATTGGTCCTCTCAACTAATTTCGTCAGATTTTTTTTTGACAAATTTCGTTAGATTATTATTGTTCTCATCAATTAATTTCGTCAGATTATTGTTGTTATTCTTGTCAGAATATCGTTGTTCTTACCAACTAATTCCGTCGGATTTTTTATTGTCCTTATCAACTGATTTCGCCGGATTTTTATTGTTCTTATCAATTAATTTGGTCAGATTAATACTGTTCTAATCAATTTTTTTTTTGTCAGATAAGTATTGTTTTTACCAATTAATTTTGTCAGATTATTGTTGTTTTTATCAACTGATTTCGTCAAATATTATTGTTCTTATCAACTAATTTTGTCAGATTACTTTGTATTGTTTATTTCTGTTGGTCTTTGATAGGGTACCGTGTCTTGTATTGCTCAGGGAATTATAATTGAATCTGATTGCGCACTTCCTTTTACTACAAGCGTCGGCGCAATACATTAGATTGAGAATTGTGAGTCTATGTACCTACCTTTTGGATTGTCTGTGTATTGGGTTTTGATTTGACAACAGCGTAAGACTGATACCTGTTTAGGAACTTTGTACTAATTACGGTTGGGATTAATTCTGTATTAATATTATTATGGTTATTGCATCCGTCTACTATTTATACCTACGTTAGTGTGTAACCTACGTATTGGTTTTAATTTGGTAATAGCGTAAGTTTATACCTACCCACAGTGTCATTCCGAGTCATCCATAGACATTGACATCTCATTGACACCACCCTCCTCGTAGCCACTGCCAAAACCATCGCCGAAGCCATTGTCGCGGCTTTCGCTCAGATTTCGGAAATTATTGAACCCAAAACCAGAATTATCATCCACCCTTAAGTCGTCCCCATTATCGAGGTCGCTTATAAACGAAGACTGGTTTTTCTCCTGTATACTATCGTCGAGCACAAGCAAGCTATCCTCATTCTCCGCGCGATGGTCCGGTTCGGTACCCCGCACCGACTCCTTGACCGCTATGGTGAGCATCTGCTCACAGAATGCGTCCTCTGCCTTCAGACTAAGTGCCTGTGGGTGTATGTAGTAGTATGCAAACCGGGGTAAACCTTCTCGGCAATGCATGGACAATGAACGCACCAGATATGGCGTGGAAGAGTTTTGTGACGTACAGAAAAGGCGAAGGGGGCGATAATATATCAAAAGAGCCACACATGCAATACAATCTAGAACAAAAAAAAAGAAGGAAAAAGGGTGATATCTGACCAATTGCGACATTCAACAATGCAACGGTGACCTATACCAACTGAATGAGGACACAAGGCAAGTACTTCTGAGCAGCAGCCAACATCCATACCACGTGGTACAGGTCTATGGCCTCACTGACATTCCCCTGCAGATGCCTCGTGAATGCCTTAGCGGCATACGTTGTGTGCTGGTCAGCGTTGAGTTCTATGGCCTGGTCAAAGGAGTCACATGCTTGGTCGTATAGGCTGATGGGAACGGGGCAGGGGCAGGGGCAGACAGAAAGGGTGAAGATGAATAGTACGTTGCAATATGGAATGATATATATTCATAGTATGATGTATATACCTAAACCCATAGTATGGTAGACATACGTATACATCCATAGTATTTTATATATACATATTTTACAACCATAGCATGAGATACATAAATATATACTCAAAGTTATGATAAGTATACGTATATGCCATAGCATGAAATACATATATACATATTCATAGAATGATATATACATATACATATATACCCATAGTATGAAAAACATATATATTCATAGTATGGTATATGGTATATATATATATATAATATATATACATATATATATATATATTCGTAGGATGGTATACATACATAGATATTCTTAGTATGATATACATACAATTATATTACTAGTATGATATACATACATAAACTTTCATAGTATGATATACATACATATATATTCATAGTATGCTACACACATATATATTCATAGTATGATATACATACATATTAATAGTATGCTATACATACATATATATTAATAGTACGATATACATACATATATTCATAGTATGATATACATTCATATACCATCGTATGATTCATACACATACACATCCAAAGTAGTTGCGCGCGTTCAACTCGGTCCATCATAAAGCAAGCGCCAGGACTTAGACATGAGCGAGGTAGTGGAGCAATTTAGTGATGGTGCATCTACCATATGGCAAGTATGTAATCGAAGGCTTCGTGCGTACATGTTCAAGGATATAATCACAGGCAAGGATACAATAGTAGTTTCAGTACCTATACATGCTTGTACATGCCACACACGGACCAGATTGAAAGTACACACCTGCACTGTACGCTCACTAATCCCCCAGTATTATACGATACATTCAGCAACATACCCCTGTTTCCTATATGTTTGACCCAGACACACAAGCGTGGCCTCCACAGCTGCCCTGCCCTCGGGATCTTTCACTGGACCTATTTGGTGGGCGTACGCAGTCAGCGCTTTCTTGAAGCATTGGACGGCTTCGTTAAATCTGCCACATGGGAGACGCGTGTGTAAAAGCTTAGACTGATATTTAAATAGATTAACTGGGTGGGACTAATATATAAATATAATGCGGGATGAAAGTAATATTTAGATGGATTACGGGATGTGAGTATTATATAAATAGATTGCAGGATAAGAGCAATATATAAATAGTTTGCGGGATTAGAGTATTATATAAATAACCTGCGGGTTAAGACTAGTATATATTTTAATATATTGTGGGCTAGGACTAATATAAAATAGACTGCGGGCTGAGACTATTCTATAAATAGATTGCGGGATAAGACCAGTATATAAATATATTGCGGGCTAGGACTTACAAAAATATACTGCGGGCTGAGACTATTCTATAAATAGATTGCGGGATAAGACCAGTATATAAATATATTGCGGGCTAGGACTTACAAATATATACTGCGGGCTGAGACTATTCTATAAATAGATTGCGGGCTAGGTCTTTAGATTGCGGGTTGAGACTACCATATATACAGATTTTTCCAATGCAACCATACAGATCTATGGCGTATCTAGAGCCTCCTCGAAGCACTGCGCGGCTTTGTTACATCTACCCCATGTGGGAGAAGCGTATGTGCGCGCACAGGCAAACACACAACTAGTCAACACCCTGCTATAGACCAATGCAGTTGATGCGATATTCACATATGCCATACACATACAACTCTCGTATATCATACACATACAACTCACGTATATATCATACACATACAACTCACGTATATCATACACATACAACTCACATATATCATTCATATACAACTCACGTATATCATACACTTACAACTCACGTATGCCATACACATACAACTCGCGTGTGCCATACACATACAACTCATGTATGCCATACACACACAACTCACGTATGCCATACGCGTACAACCTCAGCAATCACCTATTTCACGATTTGAAATGGGTTCGGGCATTAATTAGAGTGTGCGGACAAGCGATAGGTTGATGTGATCGAAGCAAACCCCAATACCTCCAACCTTAGGCCTCAAGACTCTAATACACCACTAGCTGCAACACATACCTTTCACTACATACATGTGAACATACATATATTTCACAATATACATGTAAACATAAACACACTTACAATGTACATGTGGACAGTCATACACTTACAATGTACATATGAACACACATACACCTACAATGTGCATGTGAACACACACACACTTACAATGTACATGTCAACACACACACACTTACAATGTACATGTGAACACACATATTTCACAATATACATGTACAAATACATACACTTACAATTTACATGTGGACAGACATACACTTACAATGTACATGTGAACACACATACACCTACAATGTACATGTGAACACACATATTTCACAATATACATGTACAAATACTTACACTTACAATGTGCATGTGAACACACATACACTTACACTGTACATGTGAACACATACACCTACAATGTGCATGTGAACATAAATACACTTACAATGTACATGTGAACACACATACACCTACAATGTGCATGTGAACACACATACACCTACAATGTGCATGTGAACACACACACACTTACAATGTACATGTGAACACACATACACTTACAATGTACATATGAACACACATACACTTACAATGTACATGTAAACACACATATATTTCACAATATATATGTACAATTACATACACTTACAAAATACTTGTGAACACACATACACTTACAATGTGCATGTGAACACACATACACTTACAATGTACAAGTGAACACACATACACTTACAACGTACAAGTGAACAAACATACACCTACAATGTACATGTGAACACACATACATCCCAGGACACATACATCATTTCTCGGAAGTAACACACGCCGAGTTCGTGCAGTGTCTGTGGATCGTCTGGGCGGAGCTCTTGGGCTTTCATGAGATTGTCACGGGCGAGCGATACGTTGATGTGATTGGTGTAGAGATACTCCATCCCACGGTATAAGTATGGCAGGTGCGATCTGCGGCACACAAAGGAGCGAGCAGAAAGAAGATTCATACGGATAATAAACACAATGAAAGAGAACATACGGATAACAAATGCAATATGAAAGAGAGTGAAAGAGGGACAGATAGAAAGAGAGAGAGCGAGAGAGGTGAGCTGACATGCACAAGGCTGATAGAAAGATATGTTGCGAGTAAGCGATACGTTGGTGTGATTGGTGTAGCAATACTCCATCCCACGGTAGAAGTAAAGTAGGTGCGATCTGCGGCATGTAACTGATCGTCACGAGTGTGACACAGACGGTTCAACGCATGACTAAACTCGGTTTTAGGCGTTTTTTCTTGGGTTCTCGGTTGAGAAGTTCAATAGGCGGATGAGAGAGGGAAATTGATTGCAGGGCAGCGCAGGCACACAAGCGCATATGAGATGAGATGACACGACACGGCACGGCACGAAATTACATTACGTGACATGACATCATTGTAGAGAAACGAGAAATGAGCTGCAGTGATGGAGATGGCCTGCACAGCAGAGCCGCACACAAACCCAAAAGCAAAGCTAAGAGCCGTTGGCGAGTGGAATGACACAAGACAAACTAATGAAAGCTGCTATTACTAGCACATACACAAGCACATGGCAAGTAAACATGCACACACATACACATACGAGTTGGGAAGTGAAGGAAAAAGTTAAGGAATGAGGATACGCCCAAGTCACGCCCTCGATGTACGAGAATCCTTCATCTGTATACATGTACACACACCTGCACTCATACACGCAGGTGTTACGTCTAAGTAGTCTAGCTGCCTATGTACACACACCTGCACAAATACATAATGGTCTTGCCCTTTAAGTAGTCTGGCTGCCTATGTACACACACCTGTACTTATACATAATAGTCTTACCCTTTAAGTAGTCTGGCTGATTATGTACACACAACTGTACTTATACATAATAGCCTCACCCTTTAAGTAGTCTTGCTGCCTATGTACACACACCTGTACTTATACATAATAGTCTCACCCTTTAAGTAGTCTGGCTGCCTATGTACACACACCTGTACTTATACACAATAATCTTACCCTTTAAGTAGTCTGGCTGCTTATGTACACACACCTGCACTCATACACACAGCCTTACCCTTTAAGTAGTCTAGCTGCGGTGCAGTATGCGGCCATGGCTTGATCGTGCTCACCTTCCACCGCAAAGGAATGGCCAAAGGCAAGGTAAGCCATCCCGTACAATTTGTCGATGTTGGTCGCCTTACTGTTTAGTTTAGGGGTTTAGGGTTTAGATACTACGTGGTAAAACTCTGCCAAGACAATGTGTCTGCAGTCTGGGCTGTGGCTTTGTGTTGGCGAGTCATGCCCATGTTTTCTCGGTGGTAGGCATTCATATAGCTTGGGTTTTATGGGATTGTAAGAATTGGAAATCGTGGTTCACCCGAGTGTGGGCTGTAAACGATCACAGCGCCACCCTCTAGCTTAAAGGGTGAGCATCCGTTGACAGCACACGTACAATTCGATGTTTGTGTATATATGTATCTATCACCTACATGTACAGGCATATGAATATACACACACACACACTAACACACAAACAGGAATGAATATAAATCCATAATATATATATATATATATATCACAATACACATATACATAAAACTACATCAAACAATGCAACCACGCCTACAAATATATAAATGACAATCAAATAGTTTGTGCACATCTCGTTGACTAATCCATTTGGCGAAGATGGTCTGTGCAATATCTTCGTCGTGACAACGTATTGACATGTGGCTTTGTTTCAGGAAGGGTGCAGGTGTGTACATACTTAAAAATAATGATAAGTTCAAAGTGGCAATGCAAAGCAGTAGTATAAGAATACGCACGTTATCACTTCATAGCCTGTCCCACATACGTAAAGTAGTGCCGCGCCTGATCCTGTTTCTCGATCAGGTAGTAGTAGCACCCCACTGCATACCACGAGAACGCCGCCTTGGGGGCGTTGCTGACTAGTTTGTGTGCCAACAGGAAGAGATCGTTCTTCTTCGATAGCGATACGAGCACATCGACGTGTAGCTGGATTGTGGGGGATGGACAAATAAGGGTACGCGTGAGCATTGATATCCTGCATGCACGGATAGCTTGGGAGATGTGTCTGCTATATAAACAGGTGTGCCGAGTGTGTTGGCTGGCTGTGGTGTGGTGTGGTGTGGTGGGAAGGGTGTTCCGTAAGGTGACCATTTGTCCGTTGCACACATGCACACATGGTACAAAGATGAACACCAGTAGGTGTTGCGGAAAAAGTAAAAGGAGGTTAACGCCCTCGGAGGACTGCTCACACACTCAGGCGCACATGTAAGGGGCTTTCAATTGGGCCTAATGCTGTTCCTAGCGTAAGAGTGGTGGCACTAACAGATAGAAGACACAGATGGATGCGACGAGTGACATGGAACGAATACAACGCACACATCCAAAGTACACTGTACTATCCAGAAGGCGCTGCGACAATCCGGTTCAATGAAACTAGGCGTTATATGTATACTGAGTGTTACGTCTGTTTATACTGTGTTACATCTGTTTATACAGTGTTACATCTGTTTATACTGTGATACATCTGTTTATACTGTGATACATCTGCTTATACTGTGTTACATCTGTTCATCTGTTTATACTGTGATACATCTGTTTATACTGTGTTACATCTGTTTATACTGTGATACATCTGTTTATACTGTGATACATCTGTTTATACTGTGTAACATCTGTTTATACTGTGTTACATCTGTTTAGATGATAGCCGTGGGGAAGAGTGCACAAAGGTCAGAGGGTTGCATGCAGACAGCGAAAAAGGTGGAATGATTGATGCTACCGAACTATATATAAGAGCACATCGGGTGCCAGGCCGCCATAGAGCAATTTTCGGTACGAACCAGCACCATATATAAAGGACAGGGCAGGACCCGGCGCAGAGACCTACCGACAGACAGTCCGAATGGTGGGGGTTATCCTGCAGGATGTTGGAGGTGATACTGTAGCATTTGCCGTAGCATAGGCGGTCGTAGTAAGCACGAGCACGTGCCAGCTGCACATCCACATCGTTCTTGAGGCAATCCAGGGCGGTGGGTGGGGCCAGTTCGGTGACGGTGCTCTGTAGGTAGGCGTAGAAAAGGAAAACAAAGGAGGTGAACGGAAACGACGGGTGTATGTAGTACCAATACGCATACACATACACATACATACATACATACATAGATCATTCATACATAGATCATTCATACATACATACATTCAAACATACATACATTCAAACATACATTCATACATGCATGCATACAAACATACATACGTACAAACACACACATTTATAAATACGAGGCACAGAACATCACAAGATACACAGGACAGGGCACGAGACATACAGACACAAGTAGACCTTACACCAGACACTATCCTGCACATGGTGTATGACATAAACCGCCCAACTCACTAGACACACATATACTTCTTAACACAAACGCATTGCTAACAGAGTAAACTACACACAGAGTGTGCCATGCTGGTATGAAGATGCAACAGATGCACACCCGCGGCAAATCCAAAATCCAAACATTAGAGTTGTGTTGAACAGAACTTTAAAGCACTCGAGACCAGAACATATAGGCTTTTGTAGTACAATCTCTAGATCGATGAACACATCAGCACCCGTCCCCAGCACTTGGGCGGGTGAGCTAAAACCAACGGAACAAAGTAACAGAGGAATTTAAACACTGTAAATATACACTTACAGATAGATAGATACATGCACTAGCAACCGTCTTTAAGCACTTGGGGTGGGTGAGCGCAGACACCAACGGAACAAAGTAACAGGCGCATATAAACACATTAAATATACACTTCCAGATAGATAGATACATGCACCAGCAACCGTCTTTAAGCACTCGGGCGGGTGAGCGGAGAAACCAGCGGAACAAAGTAACAGGCGCATATAAACACATTAAATATACACTTACAGATAGATAGATACATGCACCAGCAACCGTCTTTGATCACCT